GGCCAATCAGCCCGGGATCAAAAATTCCTACCTGGCCCCAAACAAGAAAGGCAACCAGCCGTAGCCCACACAACAATCAGGGTGGGAGGGTGGGCCAAGCTCTTCGCAAGAACTGGTTGACCAAGGGCGGATCCGGCTGTTAAGTCACCGGCTCTGCCCCCTTGCGGGTCACGTAGATGACCAGGTTACGTGTCTCCCCTTCCTCCTTCAATGGAGTCAAAGGCGGCCCCTAGTGGTACCGCTGCGCCACCTGCTGGTAGGGCCAGATTGCCCCCATATTCGGAATAAAGAGTCAGACACGGAAGGTTGGCATGATCCGGGCCAAGGTCAGTGTTGACCCTTCCCCAGTCGCAGGACGCGGAGCCACCCCACCCCCAGCTTGAGCCAACCTGTGTGGCTCTCCGCCGGCAGGCACGACGAAAGACATGCCCTGGAGATCCAGCCCCAAGTCGCAGAACTTAAGCAGCAGATCGATCCATGCAGTCCCCAAGGCAGTTTGCCATCTTTCCCTGGGTCACCCAACCCAAAGGCTAATCTGGCCAAACTCCTCTCGCCTGAAGTAATTAATTGGTGCTCCCCTAATGACCTGCAGGTCCTCCATAGCCCGGAGAGTCAAGGTTTCCCCCTTGACAAACCCCAGTTCATGACCTCCCTGGTGCCCCACCGGCATGTCAGGGGGAAGGCGCATGGGCCCCAGGTCTTTACCGGCCAGGAACGCCACCAACCTGTCCAGGGAAGGAGCGTGGGCCCTTGAAACAACACAGGCAGGGGGCCTGCCCGGCGAGGGCCATGGCGCTCCCGCCATTCGATGGTGGCCCATTGACAGAGGCCCATCTGAGATCCCACACAGTTCTCCGTGCCCAGTGTGCTGCCCAAAAACACAGCTGTGACCACAGATAAGAACCTGCTTCCTCTCAATGGGCCCATTATGACCTAAGAAGGAAACAACAGTTAACCTACAGAAAAAACACATGAAGAGGAACGTGGGCGCACCTAGAATGGAAAAGACCATGTACACCCTAAGAGGAAGTAAAGCACCCCCGACTTATATAAAGCGGATAGGTGGCATCATCTTTAATGGGGTAATTAACCAGCCCTGCCTCGAGAACCCACAGGTTACTGGGGCTGGGACCCATTGCCAGGAGTTTGATTGCCTCCCCCCCCCCTTGCCTCTTCCACTCCCTCCTTGGTTGGGCCTTGGGGCAGTTGCCAAAGGAGTGCGGCCCGTCACAGAAGGGTCAGTCGTGACTGTTTTGGCATGTTTTCCTGCTACAAACCCCTTGCGCGCCAAACTCCCAGCACAGCAAGTGGGGCTGTACCTCCTGACCCGTGGCCTCGCTGGAACTGGCGGGGCCCACTGTGGCGGCAGTGGGCATGGACCCGCTGCCCAAGCCCATGGCAGAGGGGTGGATAGAAGAAAGGCAACCAGCCATAGCCCACACAACAATCAGGGTGGGAGAGTGGGCCAAGCTCTTCGCAAGAACTGGTTGATCCGGCTGTTAAGTCACCGGCTCCACCCCCTTTCGGGTCACATAGATGACCAGGTTACGTGTCTCCCATTCCTCCTTCAATGGAGTCAAAGGCAGCCCCTAGTGGTACCGCTGCGCCACCTGCTGGTAGGGCCGGATTGCATTGATAGGGAGAGCAGCTCCGGAGTGCAGACACATAAGCCACACTTTGTTCATTTAGAGGGGAACAGAAGCCCAGTGGAAACAGGACATCCTGGCTTAAGATGCTTCCCACGTCTTCGGCGTGACCTTTTTTCTTTCGTTCAAGAGGAAGAAGGCACAGGGGTCAAAGAATCGAGAGCATCTGCAGTAGCTCCACTTCTCCCTTACTTTCTCTGCAGCTTTGATTAATCCCTACGCTTCCAAAAACTGTTCTTTGAGGGGGAATGCTACACCCTTGCGCCAACACAACCCCCAAATGAGGCTCTGTTGCTCTTTGTCTAGACCTTAGAAGCAAATCTTGTGAGCCACAAGTGATCTTTTTTGAGGTGTTCAGTTTCCAATCAGATAACAACTCTTCAAGGATGTACCCCAAACTGTCAGGATCCCATAGGTCACTGGCGCTGAGGTAATTCAGAAGTAATTAATTCACCTCAGTCACACCCCGCAAAGAAAATAACATGTAGAAGCCTTTGCAGAGGCTGTGGATTTAAGGAGGCATTAAGATGTGGCACATTGGGATGAGGTGGAATTAAATTGTGACAGAAATGTAGAGATATGGCTTTGTTGTACAGCAAAGCTGTCTAGAATGTAAAATACCAGTTTTGGATGCCGAGTGCTCTCCAAATGGAAGTCTTCGGTTGTCTCTCTCATAGTGGAAGTAAATAGGAGTCTTGTGACACATTAAAGACTAACCAAGTTATATTTCAGCACAAGCGCTTGAGGACCAGAGCTGACTTCATCAGTTGCGTGAGGTTGATTCTCGCTGGGCAAGACAATTTATATATGTGGTTAACAGCACAAACCTGTCCATATTTACTCAGAAGTAAGACCTGCTGTTTTTAATGGGGCAAACTTCCAAATAATATAGAGTTGCCACCCTCCAGGTGGCACCTGGAGATCTCCCGCTATTACAGTTGATGTCTAGTCAACCAAGATCAGTTCCCCTGGAGAAAATGGATGCTTTGGAGGGTGGATCCAATGGCATTATGTCTTGCTGAGGTCCCTCCCCTCCCCTCCCCAACCCCAACCCCCTTCTCAGGCTCCATCTCCAAAATCTCCAGATATCTTTACCATTGAAATCTCAAGTCAGAGGAAGTGGCAAAATGAGATTTCCACTTGTAGGAGGCAAGATGAGATTTCCACTTGTAGGAGGCCCAGCTTCATTCCTTGCCCTTCAAGGCATATCCATTTTCACATACCTTTTCCATTTAACTGAGACTTTACTTGGGGGGGGGTCTCTCTCTCTCTCCTTCCCTTGTCTTCCCTTACCTCTTTACCATTTTACCACATAGATTTACATTTGAAACCTATGGCAGTACCGTGGTAGTTATTCTTTTCTAAAAAAAAATCCTATTTCTCATATTGTTCAGCACCTTCATAATACTTACTGTGGTTATTACCCAGAACTAACAAAATAGAAATAAATGAGACCAGCTAAGAACTGCAGAATTAACTATTCCAAAGCAGAGAAATTATGCAAATTTGCATAATTTACAGTATTTTTGTGGTTTGCAGAGTTGGGAGCAGATTTTTATTTTTAGTGTACTATACCTATAGCCTGTGGAGCTGCGGTGGCTCAAGTGGTTAAGACGCTGAACTGCAGGCTGTGGAAGGTCAGTAGTTCAGCAGTTCAAGACCCGGGTGCCGCAAGATGGGGTGAGCTCCCGTCTCTAGTTCCAGCTCCTGCCAACCTAGCAGTTCGAAAGCAAGAAATTGCAAGTAGATAAATAGGTACCACTTCGGTGGGAAGGTAACAGCGTTCCGTGCGCCTTGGTGTTTAGTCATGCCAGCCACATGACCACGGAAACGTCTTCGGACAGCGCTGGCTCTTCGGCTTTGAAACGGAGATGAGCACCGCAACCCTAGAGTCGGATTCGACTGGCTTTCGAGCAAGGGAACCTTTACCTTTACCTTTTACCTATAGCCTGCCAGTTGCTTTAAGTGAATTAGGGTGGAGACTTTCCCCTGGAACTGAAGTTCTGTGTGTTTCTGTGTGTGTACATATGTGCAGTACAGCTCTTTGAAGAAGCCGTGTATGCACACAAGTGTGTGACTTCAGTAAGAATCTGCCCTGTGGCCTGGTTGAATAAGTAGGGGTCTATACAGAGTCTACCTAAGGATTCCAGCAGAGGTGAAATGGGTCACTTTAGGGAGCAGAGCTTAGATAATGGAATCATTTCGTGAAGAAGACCTTGAGGAATTTCACATTACCTTTTTAAACTCATTTTGAAGCCGTTTTTGATCCGTTGTGCCATTTCACACATGGCTTTCCCCTTCCAGTAAAGAGCTGGATCTGAAGCGGTTTGCCATTTCAGACTGCACCGCTTTTTCCCTGCCATTTTTCGCCTGTGCGGGCGATCTCCGGCTTTTTTTTTTTTTTTTTTGGGAACGTTCGCTTTATAGCGCTATAGCACTATAACAAAACACTCCAGGCATTCCAATGGGGTTGATATAATGCTGTTCCATTATAAAGCGAACGTTCCCAAAAAAAGTCGGAGATCGCCCTGCGCGGGCGAAAAACGGCGGGAAGAAGAGCATGGGAACCGGGAGAGGAAACTGAAGACTACTTGGAAGTGGTTGACAGATAAAACGCTTCAGCCTCGTTTCCTAAACAGGACAGAAGCGTTTGTGTCTGAAATTACAAATATATTCCGGTAGGGAACCGGTTCTAAAACGGTTCTGTCTGAAATGACAGACCAGAAACCATTTGGGAACCGTTCCTCTTCCAGAATATATCGTCTGTCTGAAATTCCTCCTTGTCAAGTCCATGTTTTCTTGATAATAATTTGGGGAGTTTGGGACTGCCACAGGGGTCCTGCTGCTGCTGCTACGGAAGCTATTGTGCCATTTTAAGGGAAATACTTTAAAAGGAAAGCAAACTTTACATGTAACATATAATATAAATGGATGCGGTAAAAAGTACATAACAGATACTACAAGGATTTAAAGAACCCCCCCCCCAACTTGTATGTTTTCTGTATTTGTTTGTGTTTTGTATGTTGGTATGATAATAAACTAAAATTTACTCAGGAAAAAAAAAGGAAAGCAGAATGCAAATAAGACACCACAGTAGGTTAGTTTCAGGCAGTAGATACTTAACAGCACAACTCGGGATCACCATGAAGAGTATGTACAAGGGTTCCAAGCCAGTCAGAAAATGAGACTGGGAGCGAGGCTGGGGCTGAGATAGAGTGGTAATAAAATTTGGTAATTTTCTAGGTTTTCCCAGTTGCAGAGACATTTGCCTTCAGACTCATGTCCTAGAACTTGTTTGAGAAGGCCATCCAGCAGTGACAGTGAATGACTTCTTTATGTCTTTCTTCCCCTCAGGTTTTTACGAAATACGGAAAGTGCTACATGTTTAACTCAGGAGAAGATGGGCACCCTCTGCTGACCACTGTCAAGGGCGGGACGGGCAACGGCCTGGAGATCATGCTAGACATTCAGCAAGACGAGTACTTGCCGATATGGGGAGAAACAGGTAAGAGGGGGATGCGCAATGAAACAGAGAAGTCCAGTGACGGAGACTGCCAAAATTTGTTCCAGCAAAAGGTCTTGTGAGATTTTTATTCTTCATCACATGCAGAGGCTCAGTTTAGCTCTGACACTATTTAGCTACAATGCTCAGTTTGTGAAACTAGAATTAAGCTCGCAGATCATCACGCCAGTGAGGGCCGTAGCTATGGTGGGGCATTTCAGGGTCATGCCCCCTCAGTCGTAAACCACGCCCCACCCACCCCAAAAGGCAGGAGCACCAGCCGCACTCAGTTGCCTTGCTACAGGAGAAGGAGAGCTGGCCGGTGTGCTCTCCACTCTGCGGCAGAGAGTGTATCCCAGCCGGGTCTCCTTTCAGGCCAGGGCAGCGGGTGAGCGAGCCGAGTGGGTGGATCAGGCCAGCAGGCCTCTTTGCAGTGCGCCTGCACCAGGGGAGGAGTCGTGGTGGCTGGGTCACATGATCACATGACTCCTCCTTGCAAACCAAGGGTTGTGGCTTCCTTGATCGAGTCAAACCATGTCCTGTTGGATCTTCCTTTTCCCCCCACTGCCTTCAGCCTTTCCTAGCATTATTGTCTTTCCCAGGGAGTCTTGTCTTCTCATTATGTGACCAACATACAATAGCCTCAGTTTAGTTGTTGTAGCTTCTAGGGAGAGTTCAGGCTTGGTTTGATTTGACCTCAGCTAGCTGTAACCAGATTTCCATTTGAGCTACTATTTTCTGCTTCTAGCTGAGCTGTCAAGGTTCTTGCTGCCGTAAGGAAACTTTTTATGAAATACTCATTTCCCCTTCTTCACTTCTTTTGGAAATTGCCCAAGAAGGTCTGTTTTAACCATGTATGAGCGTCTGTTCGGAATTTTTTTAACAACTGGGCACTGCCATCCGATACGGTAAAAATATCTGGATATTTCATGTATCTCTAGTACATAGTGGAGCCTGTGGCTGTAATTTCTGTAGTTCTTGCTGGTGTGCAATACCATCTTTATAAGATCTTTACAGCATTCTCTTCCACTCCTAAATTTATGGAAGACTTTGCAGGCTTTTTACTTTCAACCAAACAGCTTCAGGGATATCCACTGAAAGATCTTTCTCCCTCCACTTGATTCTCTGTACCAAACTCCTGCTTTCCAATTCATTCAGAAGGCTTATAAATTTCTGCTATGAATCCCTTTGCTTTAACTGGCTGAGTTATGATCTGTGCAATTTTTTACTGGACAAAACTGCTTTTTGGATCAACCTCTGCATCTGAAGGTTTTACTGTCAAAGCTGTGGGGTCCTATGGCAGGCATCCTGCAGGTCAGATTGCAGGTTGTGTGCCACCCCTAAGAGTGCTTAAATGTCCTCCCAATCGTTAGAACTGGGTAGTCGCGAAGAACTAGTTCTCTGCCATTGCCTGCTGCATAGTACCTAGATTAGATGAATGGAGGACGGGTCTATCGGTGGCTGCTAGCCATGGTGACTCAGGGGAACCTCAACATCCAGAGGCACTAAACCTCTGAATCTCAGAGCCAGGAGGCAACATCAGGGAAAGGCCTCGGCCTCTGTGCCCTGTTGTTGGCCCTCCAGAGGAACTTTGTGGCCACTGTGTGAGACAGGATGCTGGACTAGATGGACCACTGGTCTGATCCAGCAGGGCTCTTCTGATGCTCTTTCCGGGGGAAGGCCTCTGCCTCTGTGCCCTGCTGTTTGCCCTCTGAAGGAACCTGCATGAGACAGGATGCTTAACTAGATGGAGCACTGGTCTGATCCAGCAGGGCTCTTGTGATATTCTTATCAGGGGAAGGCCTTGGCCTTTATGCCCTCATTTTGGCCCTCCAGAGGAACTGGTTGGCCACTGTGTGAGGCAGGATGCTGGACTAGATGGACCACTAGTCTGATATATTTATATATCTTTGATTTATCTTTGATCCAGCAGGGCTCTTCTGATGTTCTTAGCAGGGGCCTCTGTGCCTTGGCCTCTGTGCCCTTAGCCTCGGCCTCTGTGCCCTGTTGTTGGCCGTCCAGAGGAACTGGTTGGCCACTGTGTGAGGCAGGATGCTGGACTAGATGGACCATTGGTCTGATCCAGCAGGGCTCTTCTGATGCTCTTACCGGGGGAAGGCCTCAGCCTCTGTGCCCTGCTGTTGGCCCTCCAGAGGAACTGGTTGGCCACTGTGTGAGGCAGGATGCTGGACTAGATGGACCATTGGTCTGATCCAGCAGGGCTCTTCTGATGCTCTTACCGGGGGAAGGCCTCAGCCTCTGTGCCCTGCTGTTGGCCCTCCAGAGGAACTGGTTGGCCACTGTGTGAGGCAGGATGCTGGACTAGATGGACCATTGGTCTGATCCAGCAGGGCTCTTCTGATGCTCTTACCGGGGGAAGGCCTCAGCCTCTGTGCCCTGCTGTTGGCCCTCCAGAGGAACTGGTTGGCCACTGTGTGAGGCAGGATGCTGGACTAGATGGACCATTGGTCTGATCCAGCAGGGCTCTTCTGATGCTCTTACCGGGGGAAGGCCTCAGCCTCTGTGCCCTGCTGTTGGCCCTCCAGAGGAACTGGTTGGCCACTGTGTGAGGCAGGATGCTGGACTAGATGGACCATTGGTCTGATCCAGCAGGGCTCTTCTGATATTCATTTACTTCATTTATACCCCACCTTTCTCCCCAGTGGGGACCCAAAGTGGCTCACATATTCTCCTCCTTTATCTTCACAGCAACCCTGTGAGGTAGATTAGAGACTGGGTGAGCTACAAATTCTACTTTGTGAGCTACTGGCATTAAAGTTGTGAGCGAGTGACTTGGCTACGGCATAAATTGGTTTGCTCTGGAGCCATCCTTCCTGAGCTAAGTCAAAAATGTGTGAGCCAGAGGCTACAAAACTCTGTGCTTCCAGACCACCTGCCACCTTGACAGCACTCTAATCTGGGCCTCTGATGCTCCCTTGGGCATCCTCCATGCCCTGGTTGAAAGTCGCCGTCGTTGCGCCATGGAGAAGTCAAAACCGTGGCACGAATCCGTGTCTCCCACCTGGTTTCTGACTGGCACAGCAAGGCTTTGAAACGGGTCGAGGTGAATTGGTGCTTTCCAAACACGCACCCACTTTAATAGCCGGTATCAGCTGTACTGGTTGCTGTGGCAACACTTAATTCGGCTCTGGGATTTAAAAAAAGACAGAGAAAGAGTTCAAGGTGTCCAAATATTAGCATTCCAATGCCAGAGTGATTGTGGTACAAAATCCACTCAGACAGGCTCTGGTGCCTTAAAAGGAGAGGCCACCTTTCTAATCTGGGTTTGATTCCCCACTCCTCCACTTGCAGCTGCTGGATGACCTTGGGCAAGCTACAGTTCTGTCAGAGCTGTTCTCTCAAAGACAGATCTGGAAAGAGCTCTCTCAGCCCTGCCTACCTCCCAGGGTGTCTGTTGTGGGGAGGGGAAGGGAAAGGAGTTTGTAAGCCACTCTGAGACTCCGAGTGAAGGGCGAGGTATAAATCCAATCTCTTCTCTCTCCCGGGGGGTTTACACACCCACTTCTCAAAAGCAGGTACATAGCTACTGTGACATCAGTATGTGCAAAGGTTCTTTCCAGATAAGTGCAGATAAAGATAAAGTGCAGAATGTGTTATGGGGCAGCTTTTTGAGAATTCCCGCCACCCTTTAAAAATCCACCAAGTTTCTGTCCCTCATGGCAGGAAAAAAGACACTTAAAAGTGTGTTGAGTAGTGCCATGCTGAATTGTGAGAGTCTGAAAGATGGCTGTTAAGATTTCCAGTAG